GGCCTATTTGTTATGTGTTAATAATACCTACTTAACAAATGTATTGCCTATTAACTAAAGTAATTAACAATGAATAATTTAGAATGAGCAATTATTTAAATGAAAGACTAAAAAAGCTTAAAAAAATAACAATTTAAGGCTAGTATTTTTAAATTTTTCAGGGGAAGATCAGTGAACCCCCTTACACGTGGGGGCATTCCATACCCCATCCTGCCTCAAGGGATGATAACTTAATACATGACACCCAGTATTTATAAAATTGGGTTTTAATGGTTTTAAAGTAGAGTTAATAATTAAATATATATTTTTAATTTACTATAATTATTTTAAATTGAATATTGCTTAACATGGCTAAATTATAATTTTTAATCGATCAATAAGTTTAAGCAGAACATTAGGTAAATTTATAATTTATTTAACGACTCACCTATAGGGCACATAACAAATTTGCTAATCATTGTGTAGCCGTATCTTTGATTGAATTTAGGCTAAAAGGAAATGTTAATTATGGATATAAAATAACAAATTATGATGAACAAATTAACTACCTACATCTTAGTTTATAATAAAGAATTTATTAATTAATACAAACCTATTTCATTAAATGATTTGATTCAAAACATTAGTTACATAGATCTGCCTACATATTTGGTTAGGAATTTTAAATTAAAATTAAAATCATAGATATTGGTATGTATTACATTGTACAATTTATTCAAATTTAAGAATTATAAAGGTTTTATTTTTAATTTTAATTTTATAAAGCCCTGAATCATGGAAGGATTACACAAACTGAAATACATTGTAATTTATTTTTTATTAAAAAAATATTGACTAAATAAATTAAAAAAAAATTACCTAGACTGATATTCTCTTATGGACAATTGGAGTGTACACCTCCTGCAGGAGTACCAATTGTAAATATTAAAAAAACCAAAGTATATTGGCATACAGTACCAACATATGTACCAATATATATTCAAATGTGTCAAATTTCGAATAAAAAACACAAGCTCAAACTCATCGACAGATAATAAATATAACTTAAGTTTGTAATTACAATAATTGTACATTCATCATCGGGTTACTACAGGAATAAGATAACTCAATTTTTAAATTCTTTGACAATTTTTTAACTAAGAATTGTTTCTGCAACCTTGTACAACTTAACTACGAGAATAACCAAATCGGGATTAATGTCGAGCGCAACAAAATAGGTATAACTCCATTTTTAGTAAATAGACCCAATGAAAATAAGTTACCTACACATTCAAATTACTCAAATTAGTGTTTTGGGAGTTATCTGGTTTTTGCAGTAACCCTTCGAAATAATCTCTTGAATAATAAAAAAATATTAACCTTACATTACTAAATCGTTCACTTTTAAAACAATTATTTATGATTTTGGTTATTTTGGTATAATTGCACCACCGATTTATTAAGGTCTTCTTTATCGATAAGTTTAAAATATTCAAAAGCAAAATCAATCTAGGTCCATTGTTATATATATTATATTTATTTGTAGTGTTTTCGATAGACTTCTAGTTATTTTTATTTGCAAACATTTGACTACGGCAAAATAAATCCCTTACATTTTTGCACCACTCGGGGAATATGAATGAATACTTTGTAAGCTTTGTTATTGGAATGATTTAATTTATAGATAACGTTTTAGGCGTAATAAGGGATATTTAATAAGTACAAACTTTACGATTTACAAATTTGTATCTCTGGGAAAACTTATTTGCATATACTTTGTATAGTGCTATGCCAGTAAGATCACTTAAAAAATTACAATAAATAGAATTTTTTTAACGAGTGGAAAACTATAGTTAAGGGTTAAACCATTTTTTATACTCCCACGTTTAAAACGCTCTTTATCGTACATGTTTCCATGGCACTAAGTGACCTTTTAAATACACATTGACAAGTTGTGGCTTTATGGCGCTTTAGTCACGGGCTGAAGTTAGCAACAGGTTTTTAGTCACGGGCTGAAGTTAGTTTTAAGTTAGTTGACAGTTGTCAAATGTCATACAATCGTTAAAATAAATTGCCTTTCTTGTAAAATAATACTTAATGTGAAAATTATTGTATTATCTCAATACAAAAGTATTAAATAGTTTCTCAACGCCAATATTTTAAAAGTTTATATGAACATTGTACTGACCTTTTAATTTCGCGGGCAGTAAATTATAACTTAAATTCGGGCACGGACTCCACTGTAAAGTGCTCATAAAACATTTGTTTTACTTTCACTGTGAAAAACTGTCAATTTTCAAAAAATACATTTCGATTTGTAACCTTTATAATTGTTTTTATAAAATAAAAAAAATTGACATTTGACGGTGACACATAGATTCCCCTATTGTTTCATAGATGGCGCTTTATACAAATTTTTGATTTAAATCATTTTAAGATAATAATAAGTATTTGTCGTATAAAAAGTATAGTATGCACCTCGTTTATAAATTTTCTATACACTCATTAATTAAATTCGTGTATAAAATGGAGTTTATCAAACTTGATACATAATATACTATTATATTATTGTGTGTTCTTTATAATAAATTAATTCGACACTGTACACATTTTGTCCATAACCTAATATTTTTAATGGAGCAGTGTCTCCATTGTTTGTTGTGATCAGTATCTTAAAGAAGAGAAACGGGTTGAAGGAGTGAGTAGCGAGAGGTGGTGGCTGTAAGGGCGGCAGCGGCAGCGGCAGAGGCAGTCCCCCAATCTAAATCACGGGGAGAGCCTCATTAAAATATGTAAATGCTACCCAGAACTAAATCATAAAGAACGTGAGCAACTTTACATTAACTTACTTTATTGTTATTAACATATTTTGTCATCTGATAAACGGCCCTGATTATATCTAATTACGGGTTTGAAGCTTAAATTCCTATTTATAATCATAAATTAATTTTATACAATGTTGCTAATGTGTTGTGAATTTTGTTATGCAAGATTAATTATAAACTTTGCGATCAATTTCTTTCGAATGGAAAATAAAACAAGGATTTTATTTATTATAGCTACGTTCAAGATACCTTTTATCATGTTCATTATCTTGAGGTAGTTATGTTTTTATCAGTTGTTTTACAAATTAAAGTCATTTGATGTTTACACAGTTAAGAAAATCAACTCTAATTAGAGTTCATAGGTCCACACTAAATAGTGTTGTTTTATAACACTACAATTAGAGTTAATTTGTAGTGTAATTTTCCCCGAGTATGATTTAACACTATAGCACTGAGGATAAAGTAATTTTACACTGTATTAAAAAGTGTTAATTTACCTAAAATCGTGTACTTCTACACTTCCTGGGTTAAATCCAACTTTTGTTCAGTGTAAATTAACACTACTTTGGAAAAGTTCTAATTTTAGAAAGGTACTTTTACTCTTTTAGTGCAAACTTCCAGTGTAAATTAACACTATTATTTGAGTAAAACCTATTGGTGGTAGTGAATAAAACGAAAAGGTAAATAAAGAGAAACATTTATTTGGAACAAAAATCTATGACAATTATCAAAATCGGTGCCTTTTAAAATATAATTTTATAGTTGAGTCGTATGGCTGGCTTAACCAAAATGGTTCCTTAAAACGTAAAAGTTTTAGATCAATGCAATGTTTTACTGGCTGTCAACTTGTAAGCAATGAATTATCTTAAAAATTCATCAGTAATCCATTTTTCTGTTATAAAGAAAGGGTGATCCCATTGGTAGAGAGGCGTCAGGCGGCTGTATGTCGGGGATTTACTACACGTGTACAAATTTTCCAGACTACTCTAGAAAAATTGTAAAAAATTTCAGCTCTGTACCTTAATAATAAAAAAATTTATAGCAAAATTCCGGTTTATATTTGAACCACCCTCGTATTAAGAAAAATGTAGGTATAGGTTAATTTAACAACCATTTCGCTACTACTCTAGAAAAATTGTAAAAAATTTCAGCTCTGTAACTTAATAATAAAAAAATTTATAGCAAAATTCCGGTTTATATTTGAACCACCCTCGTATTAAGAAAAATGTAGGTATAGGTTAATTTAACAACCATTTCGCTTGAAAATAAAAACTGCCGTAAATTATTATATTATTATATTATATAGGTCGGGTATGGACATCCTTTTAACATATTGGTATTTATTGAGTATTAAGGCTTAAAGAAAAAAGAAGTATAACACTTACCAAAAAATAAGAATGTCCCCTTATTGATTCACCGTAATTAAAATCTAACTGAACAAAAATGCTACACTTTCACAACGCGGTATCTCCGGATATGCACTGCATAGGTAGATAGGTAAGTACTAACCAAATATTTTAAAACGCATTTCGGTTATTACCAGTTTTTTCAGTCTATTTTGCCACTTTTGGTGTAATTTAACTTTAATTGTGATACAATGTGCACTAGTAGTGTAAAGAAAAAAGAGCTCTTAGTAACATCAAAACAGACAAAGAAATTGGCATGCACTGTAGTGTACATTTTGTCACTATTTAACACATGAAGGGGTAACTTTTACACTTACAAATCAACTCTAATATTTTTACCCCTACACTAAAAAATTTACACAGGCAAAATTTTTTACTGTGTAAATATGATTTTATATGCATTAAGTGTATAACGCCAAATTCATTAGAAATCAAGATAAAAACCTACCTATTTAATATTGAACTTTACCACCAAAATTTTAGTTGTTTTAACAGTACCTATAGCCTTAAAATTAATTAATGTCTGGTAGTTTTATGTAGGCTCGGCATTCCATATTCAGCAAATGCTGGAGGGATTATCAGATTTCTTAATAAAAATTCATCAAGAAATTTGATAAGCCCTCCATGCTAATTTATACTGTATATTATACTGTAGGTAAGTAAAAAAACACAAAATACTAAGAAAAAGTATCACAAATCATCTACACCTAAATTAATAAAACACATTATTTCAGTACAAACTATAACTTAAAACAATACAAAATAAAAATGATGTATTAAAAATAAGCTTCTCCTATTGACTGGTACACTTTCGAATTAAAATACATATTCACAAACTTTTTTATTATGAATACTATTCATTGAATAGATACTGGTAAAATACAAAAAACTATGTAGTGGAAGTCGTAGCTGTTGATGCAGTTGTACTGGTAATACTATTGGGTTTTCTCTTTCTTTTAGCAGCAACTGTTGTGTCACCTGCTGGTTTAGTTGATGCTATTATTTGAAGCTTGTTATTTACTAGCTCTTTCTGAAAATACAAAAAAAGTCAAGTATACCTAAACAAATAAAAATTATATAAAATTACCAATGATTCATTATTTCTAACCAGCAATTTAACATCATCAGAAGTTATTGTGGATCTTTTGGCATGTCTGAAATAAATAACCATATGAATAAAATACCCGATACGCGATTTTTATTTTGTAAAAAAAAATTAACAATTTTAATTTTGATTTCCTGTGCTAATGTGATTTTGATGATTTTTGTTCTGAAATGTGATTTGAGGTTATACAGGGTACAAAAGTAAGAAGAAGTTTTTTTTCGAAATTTGTGACATCCTGTGGGGTGAATCAGCAATAACAGCGGATGTTAATAAGAGCAAGAGTTTTCATTGACGAGTGGGAGAAAAATATAGTCCAAAATTGTTGTTTTAAATTTCAAATATAAACATTTTAAAATCGTTGTACCTTATTAAAAGCGCTTTACTAAAATAAAAATAAAATCTTTCTAAATACACATCGTAAATTAAAGACATTTTTGCTTACTACGAAAATAACGCACTAACGCCATTCCACACGATAGGCTTTTTAAATACCTATAAAAACAAATTATTTTTTGACAGGTTATTTTTGAGTTATTACGCAATTAAACATTAAAAGGAGGTCATCTTTACTCAATAACTTAAGTTTAAAAAACTCGGCAACGACGTGTTCCCATTGTGCTGAATATCACACATCTACGAAGGGTTTTCATGGAAACAAGATAAAGAAGGCATCTTGCGGCTATTTCCAGAAAATAAATTTCAATTTTAAAAACCATGGATCTGATTATGTAATGGCCCATTACATGGTTTCATGGCTAAATAATGACATTTTTAGCCAAAGCTTTCCTTGTACTGGGCCTTTACAGGAATGTTTTAATAAAATATTAATTTTGATAAAAGGCTGTGGTGATAAGGTCTGGCAAAGTGCCCATGACAAATATTAAAATGCGCATGTCTAGGATGTCCGAACTAGTTCGGGATTAGCACCGCGAAAACACCTATTAATAATGGCAAAGAAAACCTGGTTTTCTTTGTTATAGAGGAAAATCTACCAAAAAAATTAAGGGTACTTATTTGTAAATATATATTTTAATTTTAAATATGTTCTAAGTACTTAGTTTAAGGATTTTTTATTTATTTAAATATTATACATTACATTTATTACGTAATAAACAGTTTTTAAAATTAAAATTTTATGTTTTACTTATACTTATACTCATACTTATTGCTTTGTATTTTTTCTTGCAAATTTATGAATGTTTTAGTATTACATTTTAAGATAATATATTAATTAATGTAAGGGATAAGTAAATCATTTATTAATTTCTGATTATCGTGGAATATCCTTAATAATAATAATAAATATACACCTACCACATTTAATCCACCATAATGGATACTTCTCTTATCCATTAAAAATTATTTAAATAACCACTATACTCTTTAACACCCTATATCAGAAACTTTAGCTGGCCACCTTTGTACCTTTAATTTGCCATAAAAATGGAATGGTTCTTGTAAGTGCCTTTATTGCCGTTAAATACCCCTTAAAGGTAAACGCGACATATTTTGTACAGTTCCATTAGCCTTTATACTAAATATAAAGTTTATAGGGCCTTAGTTCATTAAAGGCACGTTTATAAAGGGCCATTATAAAACCTTTACGGTTGTGTTTGCTGGGATGCATGTACGAGGTGTGTTTAGAAAATATCGGGAATTTTAGTTTTTTGAAACAAATATTTATTTATTCGTGTACATTAATGTTGTCGCCTTCAAAATAGTCCCCATTGGATATTTTGGATATTATGCACATGTGCCAGCTCTTCTTCCAATACTCGAAACACTTCTAAAACTCGATCTTTGAGATAGCCTTTAGTTCTTTCAGCGATGCGCTTTTAATGTCATCTATGCTTGCAAAACGACGGCCCTTTAAGGTTCTCTTTATTTTTGGGAATATGAAAAAGTCCGACAGAGGCTGGGGCATCATTACAGTATTTTTTTTGGCCAAAAATTTTATTCAAAATTTGACAATTTTGGAACAAATTTTGCTGTCACGCGTTTCATACCCAAAACATTTGAAAAAATTTCATGGGATGAGCCAATCGATATACCAACATCATCAGCGACTTCTCTAATGGTTTATAACTATTTCTTCCACTTTTTCCATGTTTGCATCGGTTGTTAAAGTGCTTGTGCGTTCGGGGCGTTCGTCATCTTCAACGTCTTCACGGCCATTTTGGAAACTCTTATACCACTTGTAAACTCTTGTTTTACTTATAGCAAACTCACTTTAGGCCTTTGTTAACATTTCACAGAATTTATTTCATTTTTTAAGCAAAATACAAATGGATCAAAGACCATTTCTTTTAACGAACGAAAATCGCCGAGCTCATAAAACACGTCTAACCTTAGCGGCTGCCACAGACAAAGTAAACAATGAAAACAGCTAAAGTTTTTATCATACTTCGGAGGCATGTATACCAACATAATAAATAAAATTTTATGACAACCTGACCCTCCGAAGCCGCGGAATTTAACAATTCCCGTTATTTTCTGAACACACCTCGTATGCAATTTTTGGGTAACTATAGTAACGATACAATATTTTTAATTAAAACTGCAATTTTCTTACTTTTGGAAAGCATCTAAATCAGACCCCATTAGCAGTATCTTTTTGTAAGCAAATTCGGCAATTAAGTCCAAAGCATCAGGTGAAAATTCCACGTTGACGGTTTCGCCAACCTCTTTGCATATTTTTCTCGACGTATTGTAGATTACGTGCTTGGTTTTCTAAAACAAAATTTAAATCTTATTTGGTGGAATAAAGATTAACCACAAAGGCGACATCTCTCTATTGGGCGCTAAACGACAACGAAGTAATATGAAGGTTTTGTAGGAAACCTTTAGCTGTATCGGTTTTATTTTTTCTGTGATGAAACACAATTTTCTTAAATGTATCTTATTAAAAATAATTAGGACATCGATAATTGTGAATTAATTAATAAAAAAACATTATCATACCTGCTCTGTACTCATATTTCAACAAAACAAACCGAAACTAAATGAGGTTATGTTAACAAACTTAAAATCAAAATATTAAAATATTTTGCTAGTTTAAGAAAAAACCATTTACAATACTAAACAAGAACTTTAAAAATAACATTTAACCAAAGGCACTTTTAACAATTATTATCAAGGTCTTGACACTTAACTTAATATTGTTTGATAAATTTAAACAGAAGCTATACAACTGTTGTATGCCGCCAAAGAACACTGTTTTTGTGAGGCGCCATCTGTTCTGTTTGTATGGAACTTTTATAATTTTCTTTTAGTTGAGTAATTTAATACTAGGTGTCGCTTCAACAAAGGAGCTTTGTATTTCATACTCGATTTCAAATTTAAATCTTATTTTATTATCCAATTTTTTTAATAAAGAAAAACAGAAAAATTCACTAAAAATATTTTGTAAATATAAATAACAGATATAAGAATATATAACTTTATTTTTCTTTTAACATTATTAGTAAAATAAATCTAACAAATACACTGCGCGTCAAAATCAACGAATAATAAATAAAAAAATTCTAACTCTAAAACGCCTTTACCAATCTTTATGAAATTTTGTATAAAAATGCTTCAACTTATATCTGTTATACGTGTTCGATGGTTTTTCAAGAAAATATATTTAAAGCCCTTTTATTTTATAATAAAAAAACGTTCGAAAAAGAAGTTTAATAGGGATTTTTTAAATAAAAAATATGCTGTTAAAGACCGTAGTTTTGTTAGTTTACCCTGAAAATTTTGTACAAATCAAACGAACAGTAACAAAGATACAGCGCTTCAAAGTCGGTAAAAATGATCCGTTTTTGATTATTTTGCTGAAAAGTGGTCATTTTTTACGACTTTGAGGCGCTATATTTTCGTTAATGTTCGTTTGATTTGTACAACATTTTCAGGGCAAACTTACAAAAATACGGTATTTCACAGCAATTTTTTATTTACTTAAAAAAAATGCCTATAAAAGTTTTTTTTTTTCGAGCGTTTTTTAATAAAAGGGCTTTAAGGATATTTTTTTGAAAAACCCTTAAACACGTAAACTGAGATATAAGTAAAAGTATTTTTATACAAAATTTCATAAAGATAAAGGCGTTTAAGAGTTAAAATTTTTTTACTTATTATTCGTTGATTTTGACGCGCAGTGTATTTGTTAGATTTATTTTACTGATAATGTTAAAAGAAAAATAAAGTTATATATTCTTTTGTCAATTAGCCAGTTTAAAATGTGTTTAATATGGTTTTACTTTTCTTTAACGAGTTGTTTTCGAGTTTTTAAGTATAAAAATTTAAAAACCTGACACATGTTTGATAAACTAAAATGTTTGGCATGTGTATTTTCTGACATGTTCATCTTTTTAAATAATAAATTTTAAATAAAACTAAAAAGTTTCATTATTAAATTATGGACCACCCTGAAACTATCTAATATCCTAAATTCTTAGATAATATACCTACTTTATTAACTTAAAACATACCATATAAATATTTATACCTACTTACAAATATAGGTCATATCATATCATGAAACAAAAAACAAAAGATTACCCACCCCAGTTAATTAACCTAACCATCCGATACACCTACCTGTTAGATTGTTATGGTCTATGAACTCGCCGTGACATCAGGTTTTTTTATCGTTTTTAAAAGGCATATGCAAAATGAAATCCCCTCGAAATCAAAAAACATGTTTTGACTCACACAATTCTCACGCTTTTACACATACGTTCCTTTGTAGGTAGATACAAAAATTGGATTTTTTTTAGTACGAAAGTTTTTGAAATATTAAAATAATAACAAGTTAATTAATTAATTAATTAATTTAAAAATGTCCAAAAGTTTTTACTAAAATTCTTAACTACCTATCTATTAAAAATTGATAAAAATTTTAAGTTAATTTTTGTTTACAACATAAATCTTATGTAGTTATTTTAAACTATACAATTACAATAGTTTAAATAGTTAGATTAAAAGCTTAATATTAAAATTTCAAGATTTTTTCAACTCATAATTTTTTTGATTAGTAAAACAATCATTGTTTAACAATGATTTTTTAAGACGCTTTCGAAATGTATAAGGCGCCGTTTGCATCAAAATAGAAGTGTAGAAAATAAATATAATATCTCTCACAAAATAGGTATATAAAATATATCAAAACTTATAAAATATTACAAAACAAATAAAACCCAACAAAATATATAATACACCTGTAACAAAACAAATAAAATCAAACAAAACATAAAACATATCGAAAAAAATAAAATTCAACAAAACATATAATACACCTGTAACAAAATAAATAAAATTAAACAAAACTAATAAAACAAATAAAATCCAACAAAATATAAAAAATCAAACAAAACATTAAAAGCCAACAAAATATTAAAACTCGGGTTCCTCACTTCACCGTTTGAGGGCGCTCGACGCACAAGTTTCAAGAATTTTCTATTTTTTGTTGGATTTTATTTGTTTTATTATAGGTATATTATATGTTTTGTTGAATTTTATTTTTTTCGTTATGTTTTATATGTTTTGTCATAGGTGTATTATATGTTTTGTTGGATTGTATTTGTTTTGTTAAATTTTATATGTTTTAGTATATTTTATATACTAATTTTGTGTTTTCTATACACTTTCAGTTACTTTCTATAACAAAACACCACAAAATGTAAATTAAGAAAACGACACATTTATAAACAGTCAAATTGCCTGATAAAAGTATACTTATAAGCATCATCATAGTAATCTAGTAATACTGGTATAAATGTAGCAAAAGCGGTTATTTTCAAAGCTAGGTAATTATAATGATAACAAATAAATTAAGACAGGTATAGGTAGGTACTCATAAATAAACTAAGTCAGTTTTTAATCACCGCTTTTAAGCTCTTTAATGCCTAATCTATAAATTTCCTATTTTTTACTATTATTATTATTTCAACTAACACGGTCAGCCAGAGGCGGATTATCCATAAGGCAAACTAGGCACGTGCCTAGGGGCGCGAGGTTACAAAAGGGCGCGCGCACGTAAGTTTTTAAGCAAAGACAATAATTAACATAAAATTAAAATAAACACATAAAGATTAGTTAATTCTATAAGGATGTAAAGCTTCCGAAGTGTATTCCGCCTTCTTGATTATTCCTACATCGCCACACGGGTGTGTGTGTTCTTCGTGCAAAAAACTACTGAACCGATTGTGATGAAACCTGCTATGTACATATATGTACATAGCTATAGCTTTAGACCGAGATTTACACATTTATCCCGAAATTTCCACGAGATGTGGCATCACGCGGGTGAAACCATGGGGCGTAGCTAATTATTATATAATTAATAGAAAATATATGGCCGCTAGAGGGGCGCCGATGAGGTGCTTGCCTAGGGCGCTCTCGACATTTAATGCGCCTCTGCGGTCAGCGCTTAGACGGTGACCGCTCTCGATCATTCCGTTATAAACTTTAGCACAGTATTTGGTATGTGGCTAGCCTCCACTGTATAATCCATTCTACATAATTCTGATAATATAAATATATACAGTTCATAAAACTATTAAACCAATTAGTAAATAATTACATTTTTGTATAGATTTCTATTCAAAGTTTTATATATTAACTGCCCTTTTAAATAATGTTTGTCGTTATTTGTAAGGGTGTATGAAAATTGTTTTTTAAATATTTAAAAATTATCATTTTTAAGACATTTTTGTGTGATGGTTTTCAGGTAGGTAATAATACCTTTCAGCCAGCCACACGACATTTACGATTATTCTTCCAAAAAAAAAAAATGGCAAAATAATGACCATAAACCATTTTATTGGACCATGCCGAAAACGACCCATGATGAATTTCCAAAAACTACTAAGTATTTATTTTTACGATCACAAATTTCGATACGGTTTTAAACACGAACACGAACTTTTATTAAAAATACATAAAACCGACAAAAATCATCTAATTCAGCTAAATTCTTGGCGTTCCTCTACACAATAAAATAGAAATTTTAGTGTTCAGAAAGGCAGAAAACTATCTTGACAACCATTCGACATGTAATTGTTCCCTGCTAGGGTGGTCCACAATTTTAACCATGATAAAATCTGTAGACAAATCTTTCCACTAAACTGACAACCAATAGTTTCTGTAATTATCCTTAATGATTATTTATTAATGGAATCTTTTCTAAATAAGGGGATATTTTGCAAATAAAGCAACAAAAACGTTAGTAACCTACAGGCACCCTGGTATGTATGGGTATTTTTTTTATTTGAAGAGCTACAAGGTCGGTTAATTAGAGAAAAGTTGCTTAATTACAGGTCTATTAAAATAGCATTTAAAAATTTTAAAAAATTGGAGGATCTCAATTAATTGGAAAAAAACTGAAAATATGTCAAAACCAATTATCGTTTAAATTCGGTATTTCTGAATATTAAAAAAATAAGTTTTATATATATATATATATATATATATATTTTATAGTATACTAATATACACATTTATCTACCACCATATTTGTTTTTCCTATGGCCGCAATATTGGATTTTAGATGGTTAAATAGAAAAAAAAATAAGGAATTTAACTATGTATCAAACATGATAAAAACAAAAGATGATTGATTTTAACTCAAAATATACTAGTGAAGAAATTGGAAGTAAATTTGTACACTGAAAATTTTTATTTAAAAATTTTTACTACTACATAATTGTAGTATAGGTTCAGTAGAAAATAAAAAGGCAAAATGTTTAATATACATTTACGATGCATAAAGAAAAACTAAGCATGTATCTAGTAATACTGCAACAAAAATGTAGCCTAAATTAGTATGAAATAATACATGCTTTAGTATTAATGGCGACCTAAAACCCTTAATATATAACAACAGGAAAAATGTCAAATATGTAACAGTTGTTATAGTAGGCTTAACTAAAACATATCCTATTTAAAAGTATTACAAAATGCTGCCAAACTAATACCACATCGTTAATTTATAAACAACTCAGACAG